TTTTTTTTTTTTGGGAGAAAATGATTTTTTGAATCATAATTTTTTGGAGAACGTGTGGTTAAAAGCTGGAAAAGGTTTTGAATTTACGTGTAAAATATTTTATTTCGTTAATGTGTTATTGAAAATGAATTTGAAAAAAAAAAGTTTTTTAAGAACAAGAGAGATAAACATGGACTAATATTTGAAAGATTATGCAGATTAAACAAATAGTAAGACTTCAGACAAGTGTAATGATATGGTTCTATCTTGGATACTCAACGTTATCAATAATATAGCATAGCAATTTTATTTACTATGATACTCCTAGGAGTCTTTAGGAAGAAATTGAAAAGAGCAGTATGCAACTTTTAGCTTTGGCACATTTCAACATTCTAAAATCTTATTAAAACGAGTTATCTACTGATTACTCCATGTATGTATGATATACACAAAGAATTGTAGAAGCTACAAGAAGTCTATGTTTTTAATTTTTAATGGGACTTAATGACTCTTGCTCTCATGTTTGAAGTCAAAATTCTAGCCTTGGAACTACTTTCGACGGTTACAAAGGCGTACTTGTTCTGCAAGAGTTATGACAATGACTTCTATGAGTCCAACATTAAAGCTCAACATAATCCATTGTCTTTGTAACCAAGAACAAATTTTAACCTAGACAACCAACTCCATAACCAACTTCTGGTGAGAGAAAGATATCGATTTAAATAAATAAAGCAGCGGAATAGTATAATTCTTCTTATTATACAAATCACTATTTACGTAACGATTACTCATGAATTAACTAATGGAATCTCGATCATACTTGTTAATTTAAAGAATAGGAAGTTATTATTACGTCATCTAAATTTCACAAAGATCGGATCATAGAGTGCAAAGATATTGAGCTTTAATGACGACCGCACAAATTGCCCAATTTGAACGATTTTCCCTTCTACTTTTTAATTTTTCAAATTTTGTTAATTCACGGACATACAGATAATTTTAAGGCTGGAATTTTGTTTTTCACGCCACATATGGCTGATACAATAGTTGCCTCTATATAGGTTAATGCGAGATTTTTTAGTTACCCTAATTTTCTTTCTTGCGACATAATCAAATGGGGACCAGTTACTTCCTAGGCCTCAACGAAATTTGAGAAAAATTCTTTTTTTGATTTTCTTTTTATTTTTTTAGTTCTTATTTTTTAATATTATTATATCTATTCATGTGATTAAATTAGGCCTCCACTAAATTCAAGTCATGGCTATAGCCATGTACTTAATTGATCAATTAATATAAGTTGAGTCGTGGTAAACATTACCAAAATTTGACAGGTCTCTTTATTAGTCCTCGTGATTACGGAGGTGTCTGGGAGCACTTAAAATCGAAACAATTACCATTGATAATGAGAAAAATGGACCGTTGCTTTTCATCAACTTTGCAGGAACTCTGACATGGCAGACCCACTTTTGAATATTTTATGGCAAAATGACATTTTTGCAATTAACATTTAAATCATTTTGCACGATACACGGGCATTTTTGACATTTCATGTTTAGGAAGTCAAATTTTGCTAGCTATGACGGACCCATCTTGCAGTGAGCAACGGTCCATTAATTGATTGGCATTGGACAAAAATCGTGCTCAGACACAGCCTAAATATAGCCTCTGTTTGACTCCCTTAAAACAAAACTTCTTATTTTTAATCACAATTTTGCACGGTAAAATATTATGTAAGTATATTCAAAACTTTTTCCTATTTTCAAGAATATATTTTTTAAAAAAAAATTATTATTCAAAATATCATTTTTCTCTAATTTCATTTTTTAATAGCCATCAAATAGAGGCATAATTCTATACGACCCTAATATAATTATAACGTGCATTAGGCCCTTTGTCTAATTATACGGGGTGGACCCAACTAATCTCCCCATCTACTTCATGAGGTGGAAAGAGTCATCATCACGACAACGGAATGTCAATTGTCAAGCTTCTCAGTCAGCAAAGCTTTTCTCATCATGTTGGAACCATTATGATCTCTATGAATTTTTTCAAGTTCCATAAACCTAAAATTTAAATAAAAATGCTATGTGTACACACACAGAGCTTTATACCCCTCTCACATGAAGAGGGGCCACAAATATTTTATTGTGTGTGAGCCCCCCTCCATGTGAGGGGGGTGTAAAGTCGTGTGTACACATAACATCCCCAAATTTAAAACATCTCAAACCCAATGGTACCTCACATAAATATGTTTCAATTTTTCATGAAATACAATGTTTCGACTAAGGTGAAATTTTTTCTCATACTTGAAAGTTGAACCCGAGCTCTCCAACAAAGTTTTCCATTTGTAAATTTTTTCCGACTTCAATTGCTACAATGAATTG